GGCATGCTGAGCCCAGTTCAGCTGTACTGGCACACACCTGTAATCCCAGCACTCAGGAGGCTGAACACCGGAGGATCACTACGAGTCTGATCTGTGTAGTGAGACCCTGTACCAAATACATAAAAAAGAGAAAGAAATAGCAAAAAAAAAATCCTGTAAGAGAAAGTTAATCTAGATATGACTAATATCTAATGTAGGATTGTCAAAAATGTACTCATAGAGAAAATATGATTTTTTCATACATTAAAAGAAGAAATGTGGTCAAACAAGTGCTTCCATCTGAAATGACCTGCTAAAATTTTACAGCCAACTGCACATTGCTGGTTTTGATCTTTAAATTTTGATGTTTTTCAAACTGAAATTGTCACCATCCTGATTATAAAGTAAATCATCTTCAAAAAATGGTTCTGTCCCATAAACCAAAATGTGTTCTAACATAGAAGAATCTACAATAAAATACATAAAATTTCTAACAGTGATAAATGGTGAAATTAAGGGTGATTCTCTTTAGTCTTTTCTCTATTTCCAAAATTTTACAGTGAGCATTGTATTTTCATAATTATAGAAAAAATACTTTCACTATGAATTTTTGTCCACCAGGAAGTAGATTAGAATTGGCCTGTATTATTATAGTAGATTCAAATGATCTACAAACCACCACAAAGTTCTCAACCCCGTGGGCTGCACTCAAGGGATAAATGATCACCTTGGTTTATTTACATGTTAAATGATTCAGGTGATGTCAGCCTCTGGATTTTTGAGTATCCACAAGAATAATCAGAAACTAAGAATTGTGACAAAAACCACCAAGTATATAGATAAATGGGCAGTGAACTTTTTCTTTAGCTCCCACTTTTGAAAATTAGGTGACATAGCTCATGTAACTATCTGGGGAGGAGTCTTTACCAGGTGTGGCTGTATGGGGTGGCTGCCTCTCCCAGTGTCCTCCCCACTGCTTTTCCCTACAAGGAATGGCAATGATAGCTAGAACCTGTGATGTGAGTACTGATTATATTTGTAGGTAAGTCCACCAGATATTGTAGTGCTAACGTTGTGGGGTGCTTTTCTCATTTAATTCATAAATGTGATGGCCGTTATTGTAGAGGAATGCAGAGGGGAGGTTGGAGCAGAGGCCTCTGGCTCCCACCCTGGCTGCTGCGGCTGATGTTCCTACTTGACTGCCTCATGGGTTTACTTCTCTACTTCCATGAATAACTTAATGACTTTCACCTACTCAGAAAGAGCTAAGACCCAACATCAGTGTGCACTCATTCTGTGTTTTTCTATATTTGAAATGTTGGAAAAGTAGTGTGTACTTATTCCAAGCAAATGGTTCATGTCTAAATTGTTTTGTCTCTTACAATTCTGAGCTTCATATATAATTTATTCCTGGACATCTCTGTGGGTTTTCAAACTTTTGTGCATCACAAGGCAGGTCACTTTTCTTTTCCTAATTAAACAAAGACTGTTGCCCTTAGTATCAGTGGAAAGTCACTTGCTATGGTAAAGTCCACAGAAAGATTTATGATTCTGTTGCAATTCTGAGACTGCACACTGATGATAGGCACATGGTCTGCAAGGGTCAGTGCTGGGCAGGCTGCGCCAGGTTCTTCATCTGTGTGTTCATTTATTCTTATTTTTTGTACCAGGGATCAAACTCAGGACCTTGCACTTGCCAGGCAGGTGCTCATGCCACTGAGCTGTCTCAGCTCTCCACAAGCTGGCCCTTGTTCATTTATTTTTTTTTTATTCATTGAACTGTGCTGTGCTTTTATTCATTCACTCTGTGCCCAACACTTTTAGGCCCTGGACTAGAGGCGGTTCAGACTCTTCAGTGATGTGGTCAACTCAGACACTGGTGCTGTTTATTCCTGTTCATAGTTGCTACAGCTAGGATGCCCTGCCGTGAGTTATCCCTGGCCTTGGAACCCCAACTCCCCACATTTTCAGCATAAGGTAAGTGTGGTAAGTGTTCCATAACTGAGGAAAAGTCCTAAAAGTTAAGGCTGTAGGAAACCTAAACAAGGCAGCCTGAATCCTATTGTAGTGCTCAACAAATCTCCTCAGACTCCAAGGGCACTCTTGACTTATTTTGGGCCTGGCTAAGGGCCACAAGAGCTGAGAAAACCATATGTAGTGGGCAAATGGGTGTTTTGGGAAGGCCATTCATCTATGAAGGCAGTGACTGGCAACCTGGGAAGGCCTATCCTGGCTGAAGAGTCTGGGCTTGCCTGGTTTCACTGGCTTTGCAAAGTTGTCGGGTCAGCTGGAGCCCTAGAACAGGGCTCCTGCTCTTCCTCCTGGGCTGGACTTGCCAAGTGTGGGGCTCTGCCTTGGGTGAGCAGGGCAAAGGCAGCTGAGACTGTGTTCATTTGATAGCTGCCCATTCAGTGGGGAAACCCCATCCTCACAGATTCTCTTTGGCTTTCCTGTGTCTTTGGACACTCATCTCTCTGGAGAAGGCCAACCCCTTCTGTCTGGGGGAAAGAGGCAAAGGCTGGGAACACAAGGAAATATACTAAAAACAGATATTGTCTGAGGCATTTGCAGAATATGGAGATGATAGGATGTAGCATTTGCACTGGAAAAGAAAAGCAGATTTTTTCTCAGACTCTTTAGTCCATTTATACCATGAAATATTTGATATTTTATTGTAGGTGTATTATTTCAAGCCAACCTTAGTTAAGGTGAATGGACAAAGTCACATCTCTTACCCACCATCAACTGGTTCCATGTCATTATTATTATTATTATTATTATTATTATTATTATTATTATCATCATCATCATCATCATCATCATCATCATCATCATCATCACTATTTTACCATATGTGAGATGAAAAGAAAAGACTGTGACCAAAAATAGGAAAGTCTTTTTGCACTAGAGGCCAGTGGGGTTACCACTGAGCACCCTGCTAAGATCCTTTCTTGACAAGATTTCTATTATCACTGAAACACTTCATAGGGATCAGAAGAGCTTTCCAAGCCATATCTTGATAGACAAAGTGAAAATGAATTTGAAACACATGGATTACATTTCCTTAAAAATGTGTTTGAGTTCAAAAGTTAATACTAAGGGTTGACTGAAAACATTTGGGAAGTTTTTGAACCCCAAATGTTTCAAAAAATAGTTTGTAGAAAAGTATTGGCAGATATTTTGACCAACCAAAAATGGGAATATACCATTATTTTAATTCTTGCTTTGAAAATTTCCTTTTACTTTAATGTTTTAAGTTTAAATTAAACAGTCATTCTTATATGATTACTGAGTTACCTTAAGAACTATAATAATTCTTTTTGCTGTTACATATAAATTTAAATACACAATAGACCAGAGAATTCAAAGTTAAATATGACAAAATTTCTAGAAATAATAATAAACATTTCAAGCATTCGATATCCATTTAACATTTGTATTATTGAGAAGCTGTATAACATCAATCCTATAAAAGGACAAGAGGCATCTATTTTGTCTGGATTCTTTTACAGTAGACTCAACTGTTCATATGTTTAAAGAGCTTGTTAAAAAAACAAACATGCAAATAATCAAACAAAACAATGGATGGCGTAAATGTACTTAGGAACTGATGTGATTGCAAAGTAAAAATTTGAAAGATATGATAAGAATTTAGAAATAGACTTCATTGTCCAGACTTACTGGAAATCATAGCTTATATTTGAGCATTTTCAAGGTTCTTTATAAAAGAACTTAGAAAAAAATCTATAGATTTAGTAGAGAAAAATCAAAGTACAATGATGTCAGTTCCCATAGAGAGGAAGGAGAGCCGAGTGGATTAATCACTAAATACCCATCACAGACAAAGTCACACAGAAGAACTTGTCTCAACTCACTTTTTAGTGGTTTGGTTTTAGGTTCACACATATTGCCTGACATATTGTTGCTTAATTTTAATTCCCTGCATATTTCACAGGAAATGTAATCCATATGTTTCTACCTCATTTACACAATTAAGCTAAACATACTTGACAACATACTTAGTACCCAAATTATTTTGAGATCTTTAAAACAATCTTCCTAAGTAAATAAATATTAGGTTAATGAAAAGTCAAAAGAGCATGTAATACAAATTCAAATGTACACCTAGAAGTAGACTTTCATGACTTCTGAAACTATTCAACCTTTCTTGAAACGCCCAACCTGGGGCCGGCAAGGTAGCTCAGTGGACTGAAGCGCCTGCTTAGGCAAGCTCAGGCAAGCGTAGGGCCCATGGTTTAATCCCTGGCACCACCTACTGCAACAGCCCCACTCCCAGAGTGGGTTGAGCTGGCCAGAGTCTGGGTGTATTGATGCATGCCTATAATCCCAGTGCTGGGGAGGCTGAAAGCAGGAGGCTCACCATGAGTCCAAACTGCATAGTGAGACCCTTCAACAACTGAATACATTAAACAAGCAAGCAAACAAACAAACAAACAAAAATAACCCAACCTATAAGGAGAATCAGAGGATAATTGAATGAACTTGAAATTCAAGGTCAACAGTCCAAATAACTAAGACTGGCATCCTTGAGGAAAAAAAAGTCTCAATTTAGAGGTGATTAATTAATGAAGTCAATTAGTTAAGCCACAGATTTACTGTACAGAAGAAAATACTTTTTCTATATTACTGGGGTTTGCTAGAGCCTCTCATTTCTGGATTAGTAGCATGCCTCAAAGTTCAACAGCCACATGAGTCACTGGGGGATCTTGCCAAAGAGTAGATGCTGATTTAGTAGGTCTAGGTTGACCTGAAAATCCGAATCTTTAACAAGTGTCCAAATGATACTATACTGTTGGCCCACAGAGCAAAGTTTGACAAGCCAGCATCTGTTGTTGTACTTTTCAACCCCTACCAACATTTTTGGGCTGGATAGGGTTTCTTTGTCTTGTTTTGTTTTTGAGAAATCTGTTCTGTGCACTGTAACATTCCTGGGCTTTACCCACTAGAGGGTAAAGGGTACATCCTTCCCCCAATTATAAGAACCAAGAATAGTTAGTAACTAGAGATGCAGGTATGTGTGCTCTGTTGTTATGCTTGCTGGTTACATTACATAACAGCAACAGTTGTTAAAACATTAAACATTAAACAGTTGTTCAACGAACTGACCTCACTGAGCATCAGAAAATGCCCTTCTTTCTACCTTTCCCCACGCCATGAGGGCCCTTGACCTAGAGGGCATGGTACATTTGATAGCTGATATTGTTTCCTTTCTCAGGCTGAGTATTAGAGTGCTGAGAAGTAAGCTTGCAAACTACATTTTACAGTTATGAAAATTTCCAGGCATAAATATCTGAAAGATAATAACCACTGGATTCATTGTACTTTTTTGTGTTTATCTTATCTCTTCATATGAAGTAAATCAGTGTTTATTTTATTATATATTTTTGTAGGCTGTTTCATGAACATTTGAGATAAAATTATTTTCCATACAGTATGGTAAACAAAACTATTGCAAAGAGCAAAGATAGACACAATGCATTAATTTATTAATCAGGGTTGATTATGTGCTGTTTGACATACATTAATTAATAAATTTAAGCAAATAAGACAAATCTCAAAAGTATTGACTAATGTAGCCTGTTCTCTCTCAACTGTAGCGAAATGAAGAATGCAGATGTCTGGAAAAAGGACAAGAAACTAATATAAAAATAAAGGTCTGTGTGTGAGAGAATTTATTTTATATTAGAGATACAAAGTTAGCAATAAGGTTGCTTGAGGCTGATGAAAAACTTGGCCAAATAACAGCAGTTTATATATTTTGCTAGCTCTGGCATAACAGTTTCAAGTTAATGCCATTCTGAATACGAAATAGTTTAAAAGTTATCATTCCCAACATTTTAAAAACTGTAATTCTTGAGCATTGATGAAGAAGGCCAATGTGTAAAACCAGCTAAATCAGAGTTTCTCTGTTGCAGGGCAGGAGAAAAGAGGAACAAAGCAGACCCTGAATCTCTTTTCAAGGGACCCTGAGGGATCCTCAGGGGCACAGCATGAAAACCTGTGAGCTCTAAATATTCTGTTGGGAGAAGGTGAAAAAGTGGCAGCCCAAGGAGATAAAGCGATCTGGCCAAGGAATCCAGATTGCTCTACAGCATATCTGGGCTGGAACCCAATTTAGACAGGATGCTGGAAGTGAGTCCTGGAGTTTCTACCTGGTTTCCAGTTGCTAGGATCTCTATTACTCAGGCCAGTTATTCTCATTAAAAATTCCAAACAGAATGATGCAGAAGTGTATATATTTAAATGTGCAAGTTGCTCCTTATTCTCCTTTTCTCCATCTGCATCTGTGATCAGATTCTTTATAAAGAAACAGTGGTAGTAGGTTTGTGTGAGTTCTTCTTGCACTCTGCTATTTCTCCCCAAACCCACCCTCCCTCACCCTTCTCTTTGTTCTTGTTCTTAGCTAGCTTTTATTCTTTGGTCATAATATTCAATAATTTCTAACATCTAACCTAATATTCTTATCATTTCTATCATTTATTGCATGCTTTTTCCAATTTGAATGATGAAGACAAAGACCAATGCCTGTTTTTTCCTGACTGATGTCTCTCCTGCCTTCATAGAATGATATTGGTATACAGGAGATACTCAAAAGTGTTTGTGGAATGAATAGTCAGGCTGAAGAGCAACACACAGAGGACTTCAGAGTGGTGCAACTTTTCTGGATAGTGCTACAATGGTGGATATGCATTATGCATAAAGGTACAATAATAGCAGTGAGTGCAACGTAAACAGTGGATTTGGAGTGATAATAATCATCAATATAGTTTCATCATAGGATTATACCAAATTAAAATCTTCAGCACAGCAAAGGAAACCACAAACATAGTGAAGAGATAACCTACAGAACAGGAAAAATATTTGCCCGCTATTCCTTGGAAAGATGACTAATATTTCTAAAACAATTTATAAAAATTTATAGAATTTATAAAAAATTAAAAATTAACCCCTCCAAATAAAAGACCTAGTCAATTAATGGGCAGCTGAAATGAATAGACACTTTTGAGAAGTACAAATGGCCAATAAACCCATGAAAAAGTGTTCAACAAATGAGAACAGCACTGAGATTCTACTCTACTCCAGGAAGAATGGCTGTCATCGAGAAATCAAATAGCGAGTGCCGGTGAGGCTGGAGCTGAGGAGAGCCCTTCTACATGGCTGGTAGAAATATGAATGAGTACTACCATTATGGAAATCAAAATGGAGCTTCCTGGAAGACCCAATACTATTATGGGCTACTGGACTCTTTTAGAATATTTTGCTGAGTTAACACACCTATAATATTCAAATAACGGAACTTAACAAAAAATGGGGATACAGATGAATGTCCATTTTGTATCTGTGTATTCAAAATGCTTAGGATAGATATATAGGTACATTCTCTTAATGAATAGAGGGATTTGTTCTAATGGTGTTTGTAAATAGGATATCATGTCCACATCGTGTACAGCAATTAACCACTAGGAAGAATGTATGCAATGTGTTAATTATTGAAATTGTCCTAACAATTTGGTTTGAAACTGTCTCATTGGTATTTGTTTCTCAATAAAATTATGGAAAAAAAGGAAAAAAATCCCCCCAAAAAACCAAAATAGAGCTTCCTCAAAAAATGAGAGCTAGGACTTTCACTTGACCCAACTTACTCCCCTTCTATTTATTTTCCCCAAAGAGTTAAAGATATTACAGTGATAAAAGCATATCATATTACAGTGATACAAGCATATCCGTGTTTTTAGCAGCACATTTAATGAGAGCTAAATCTGGGGAGCAGCCTATATCTCCATCAACATAAAGAAAATGTGTTACTTCTACATAAAGACACTCAAGGCATTTGTGGGAAAAGGGATGTACCTTGAGACCATCATGTTAAATGAAATCAATGAGACATGCAGCTTAACTATCTCATGATTTGTCTTATATGAGAGAACCAAATTATAAGCAGAAAACAAGATACAAGATAGATCCTAGGAAGTAGGGAGACATCATTCTCAAATGGAATGGGGACCAAAAGGGCAGGGGAGGAGGAGAGTGGACGAAAAGAGAATTGAGATGGGTTATGCCCGTGTATCCACTGCCTGTGAGGAACGTAACCATTATATCCTTGCTGCTAACATAAAACTACTTTAAAGAACCAAGTCTATTATTTAAAGAACAGTTGTCACTTCAGAACTCATGAGTCTGAATCTGCATGTCAACCTGGCTCAAGTTCATCCACATAAAGTGTCCTTCTTCCTCCTGGTTTTGCCACTGCTGCTCCACCCCTGCCTCTTATTGCCATTCAGGTGTCTGGGTACAATCCGCCCGGTAGGAGTAGCTCCTCCAACCACTCTGCCACCCCACTTGCATCTCGATTTCCCAGCCTTGTTTTTCTTCATAGCATTCATCGCTACTTCACATTTATACTATATATTTTCTCTCTGAATGCCCAGGGTCTAGCACTCAGTAAGCACTCGCTGCACTTGCTGGCTCAGTGCATCTCCATAGAGTGGTTTCTTCCTGTGGAGTTTCTTCAATGCCCCTATGGCCTCCTACAGATACCTCCATGCTGCAGGTAGGGAGAATTTTTCAAAGGATAGACAAGTCCCATTTTGACCTTGTGGCATCTGGCCCTGGTTGCCTGGAACAAAGTCCCTTCCTTGGTTCAGTTCAGTGTTTCTCAGGACCTGTTTTTAGTCTCTGGTGAGGCCTGTTCTCTTTCTCTCTGGACCTTTGCCCATGCTCTGTTCTCCGACAGACAGCTCTGTTTCACACTGCACTTACTTACCTTTCTCTTTGGTCTCATGAGTCCTTCTCTGGGGAAGCCTCCTTGACTATCCAGTGTGGATCAGATCCCATAAGATGTGCCTTCACAGAACCACATTCCTGTCACTTGGTAGTTGTGGACTTACACACATACAGGGGTAGTGTGATTGATACACTAATCCACAGGGTAATTTCCATGAAAGCAGAAGCTGTGACTGTTTTATGGACAGCTGTGTTTCCTTCACACCACACAGTGGCTAGTCCACATCAGATTCTCAACTCATAAATGAGAACAACAAATTCCTCTGTTCCCAAACAGGCCCCATAAGCATATTCAGAAAACATGAAAACATGACCCTTTAGTCCATAGCTAACCAAATTCTCCAGCTTGAGAGAACAGGGAGCCCTCCATGTGACTGACATGAGTCTCACCCTCTCTAGTCCCACACCAGGTTCTATATGCACAAATACTGGAAAAACAGAAGACAAGGCTCTTGGGCTTTGAGGCCTTGGTAGTGTTGTTGGGGACAGTCACTTGCTCTTGTCACTAACCACACAAGTAAGTCAGTACTTTTCAGATAAATATTTTTTAAAAATATCTAAACTTAATTGATTGTAAAAAGTAATTTTTGATTAAACTTATAAACAAGAAACAGAACCACACTCAGTTTCTGAGATGGTGTTATCTTCCCTGTACTGTAGCTTCCTTTAATGTTGGCAGTGCCACCCTACCAGCTGTGAGATGCTTGATGCAGACACTTCATCCAAAAATGGCTATTTCTGTAGGACATTCCTTTAAACAACTTATTTTAAAGAGTTTGCTGACTGTTTTATAAGAAATGCTGAATACTCTTTTACCAGTCCCAAACATGCATAGGGCAAGACTGTGGACACAGGACTTCACTCTTCCTTGTTCAGCTCCTCTTTGCTCACTGCACCCGGGTCACCTCCATGTGACTGCAGTCTCTGTCACCTCTGGGCAGACTCATCTGCCACCTGTGAATACACATCTCTGAGAGTGAGCTGCAGCACACATAGATGCCTGCGGAATGGACAGATACCCAAGCCCTGGTTGTCAACTGTGTCTGTGCCTACAAATTTGAAAAGGAGGGTTTTTTTTTTTTTTGGTGGAATTGGGGGTTGAACTCAGGTCTTTGCCCATGCCAGGCACGCATTTATTCTACTGAACTATTTCCCTGGCTCCTTGAAAGGGAATTTAAAAATCCTTTATCATCTGAAGTTTGATGCAAATGGAGGGAAATTACCTATTTATTTCTTCATCTCCTCCTTTCCTCTGTTCTATTAAAACCTTTTACTGAGTCATATAATCTACTTTCACTTTCCTGGATAACAGCTCCTCTGTATTAGAGCTCAAAAACACATTTTCTGTTTAATGTTTTTAAATGAGATTTGATGAGATCCAAGGACATATATAGTGAGTTTTGTAATAGAAGAAAATGGAAAAATAACAATCACCTTATCAAAATTTGGCATGTGGCAAATTGGACTGGGATGTACTTTTCTGTGGGGGACCCTCAGTGGCTCAGGATCATTTTGTATTTTTAGAGTGGACAATCCCTAAACAGCAATAA